CCAGCTCGGCGGCATGTTACAAGTCTTCCCGCTCAGGGTGACACTGTTACAAGTCTCCAGCTCAGGGTGACACTGCACAAGTCCCCCTCGGGTGACACGCTGCAAGTCTCCCCCCTCAGGCTGAATGTGCAAGTCTCCCAGCTCAGAGACCTGCACAAGTCTCCCACTCTGGCTGACACTGCTACAAGTCTCCCCGTCAGGTGACACTGCTGCAAGTCTCCCAGCTCAGGCTGAAACTGTACGTCTCCCAGGTCAGGCTGACCCCTGCTAAAAGTTCCCCGCTCAGGCGACACTGCACAAGTCTCCGAGCTCAGGCTGAACTGCTATAAGTCTCCCAGCTCTACTGACATGCTACAAGTCTCCCGTTTTAGGCTGACACTGTTACAGTCTCCGCTCAGGCTGACACGCTACAAGTCTCCTAGGTCAGGCTGACACTGCTAGAAGTCTCCCCCTAGGCTCATGTTACAATTCCCAGCCGGCTGACACTTCTAAAGTCTCCCATCTCAGGGGTGACACTGTAAAGTCCCCACAGCTGCATGCGCAAGTCTCCCCTCATGCTGACACTGATACAATCTCCCAGCTCAAGCTGACACTGCTACAAATCTCCCATCTCACGCTGACACTGCTACAAGTCTCCCCGCTCGGGTGACACTGCTGCAAGTTCCCAGCTCAGGTGACACTGTTTCAAGTCTACCAGTCATGGACACTGTTACAAAACTCCCCAGCTCAGCTGACACTATGCAAGTCTCCCGCTCAGGCTGACATGCTACAAGTCTCCCGCTAAGCTGACATGCTACAAGTTCCCCCGCTCAACGACAGTGTTACAAGTTCCAGCTCATACTGCACTGTTACAAAATCTCCAGCTTAGGCGGGCTCTGTACAAAATCTCCCCTCTCAGGTGGCATCTACAAATCTCCCCCTAGGGGTGACACTTCTGCAAGTCTCCCAGCTAGGCTACACTGTTACAAGTCTCCACTCATATTTCAAATCTCCCCGTCAAGCTACACTGCTACAATTTTTCCCCCCCTCAAGCTGACACTGCTAGAAATCTCCCCCCTCAAGCTGACACTGCTAAAGTCCCCGCTCACTGACACTCTACAAGTCTCCCACCAAACTGAAACCCGCTGCAAATCTCCCCGCTAGGCTGCATGTTTTAAGTCTCCCCCCATATTACAAACTCCCAGCTCAAAGGGCCTGCTACAAAATCTCCCCCCAAACTGCACTGCTAGAAGTCCTCAGCTGAGGCTGCGCTGCCAAGTTCCCACTCAGGCTGACGCTGCTACAAGTCTCCCGCACAGGCTGACGTGCTACAAGTATCTAGCCAGGCTGACGCTGCTACTGTCTCCCCGCTGGCGACGCTACTACAAGTCCCCAGGTCAAGCGACACTGCTAAAGTCTCCCAGCTCAGGCTGACACTGTTACAAGTCTCCCAGCTCAGGCTGACACTTCTACAAGTCTCCCATCTCAGGCTGACACTGCTACAAGTCTCCCAGCTCAGGCTGACACTGCTGCAAGTCTCCTAGCTCAGGCTGACACTGCTACAAGTCTCCCAGCTCACGCTGACACTGGTACAAGTCTCCCAGCTCAGTTAGACACTGCCACAAGTCTCCCAGCTCCGGCTGACACTGCTACAAGTCTCGCAACTCAGTCTGGCACTGTTACATCTCCCAGCTCAGGCTGACCCTGCAACAAGTCTCCCAGCTCAGGCTGACGCTGTTGCAAGTCTCCCAGCTCAGGCTGACACTGCTGCAAGTCTCTCAGCTCAAGCTGGCACTGTTACAAGTCTCCCAGCTCAGATTGACACTGCTACAAGTCTCCCAGCTCAGACTGACACTGTTACAAGTCTCCCAGCTCAGGCTGACACTGCTACAAGTCTCCCAGCTCAGGCTGACACTGTTGCAAGTCTCTCAGCTCAGGCTGGCACTGTTACAAGTCTCCCAGCTCAGATTGACACTGCTACAAGTCTCCCAGCTCAGACTGACACTGTTACAAGTCTCCCAGCTCAGGCTGACACTGCTACAAGTCTCCCAGCTCAGGCTGACACTGCTACAAGTCTCCCAGCTCAGGCTGGCACTGTTACAAGTCTCCCAGCTCAGGCTGGCACTGTTACAAGTCTTCTAGCTCAGGCTGACACTGTTACAAGTCACCTAGCTCAGGCTGACACTGCTACAAGTCTCCCAGCTCAGGCTGACACTGCTGCAAGTCTCCCAGCTCAGGCTGACACTGCTGCAAGTCTCCCAGCTCAGGCTGACACTGCTACAAGTCTCACAGCTCTGGCTGACACTGCTACAAGTCTCCCAGCTCAGGCTGACACTGCTGCAAGTCTCCCAGCTCAGGCTGACGCTGCTACAAGTCTCCTAGGTCAGGCTGACACTGCTACAAGTCTCCCAGCTCAGGCTGACACTGCTACAAGTCTCCGAGCTCAGGCTGACACTGCTATAAGTCTCCCAGCTCATACTGACACTGCTACAAGTCTCCCAGTTCAGGCTGACACTGTTACAAGTCTCCCAGCTCAGGCTGACACTGCTACAAGTCTCCTAGGTCAGGCTGACACTGCTAGAAGTCTCCCAGCTCAGGCTGACACTGTTACAAGTCTCCCAGCTCAGGCTGACACTTCTACAAGTCCCCCATCTCAGGCTGACACTGCTACAAGTCTCCCAGCTCAGGCTGACACTGCTGCAAGTCTCCCAGCTCAGGCTGACACTGATACAAGTCTCCCAGCTCAAGCTGACACTGCTACAAGTCTCCCATCTCACGCTGACACTGCTACAAGTCTCCCAGCTCAGTCTGACACTGCTGCAAGTCTCCCAGCTCAGGCTGACACTGTTACAAGTCTCCCAGCTCATGCTGACACTGTTACAAATCTCCCAGCTCAAGCTGACACTACTGCAAGTCTCCCAGCTCAGGCTGACACTGCTACAAGTCTCCCAGCTCAAGCTGACACTGCTACAAGTCTCCCAGCTCAAGCTGACACTGTTACAAGTCTCCCAGCTCATACTGGCACTGTTACAAATCTCCCAGCTCAGGCTGACACTGCTACAAGTCTCCCATCTCAGGCTGGCACTGCTACAAGTCTCCCAGCTCAGGCTGACACTGCTGCAAGTCTCCCAGCTCAGGCTGGACAATGTTACAAATCTCCCAGCTCAAGCTGACCACTGCTAAAAAGTCTCCCACTCAAGCTGACACTGCTAGAAGTCTCCCAGCTCAAGCTGACACTGTACAATCTCCCACTCAGCTGGCACTGTTACAAGTCTCCCGCTCATGCTGCAACCCGTTACAAATCTCCAAACTCAAGGGTGACCTGCTCAAGTCTCCCAGCTCAGCTGACATGCTACAAGTCTCCCAGCTCAAGCTGACACTGCTACAAGTCTCCCAGCTCAAGCTGACACTGTTACAAGTCTCCCAGCTCATACTGGCACTGTTACAAATCTCCCAGCTCAGGCTGACACTGCTACAAGTCTCCCATCTCAGGCTGGCACTGCTACAAGTCTCCCAGCTCAGGCTGACACTGCTGCAAGTCTCCCAGCTCAGGCTGACACTGTTACAAATCTCCCAGCTCAAGCTGACACTGCTACAAGTCTCCCAGCTCAAGCTGACACTGCTAGAAGTCTCCCAGCTCAAGCTGACACTGTTACAAGTCTCCCACCTCATACTGGCACTGTTACAAGTCTCCCAGCTCAGGCTGACACTGCTAGAAATCTCCCTGCTCAGGCTGACACTGCTACAAGTCTCCCAGCTCAGTCTGGCACTGTTACAAGCCTCCCAGCTCAGGCTGACGCTGCTGTAAGTGTCCTATTTCAGGCTGACGCTGCTACAAGTCTCCCAGCTCAGGCTGACGTTGCTCCTAGTCTCTCAGCTCAGGCTGACGCTGCTACAAGTCTCCCAGCTCAGGCTGACGCTGCTACAAGTCTCCCAGCTCAAGCTGACACTGCTACAAGTCTTCCAGCTCAAGCTGACACTGCTACAAGTCTCTCAGCTCAAGCTGACACTGTTACAAGTCTCCCAGCTCAGGGTGGCACTGTTACAAATCTCCCTGCTCTGGCTGGCACTGTTACAAGTCTCCCAGCTCATGCTGGCACTGTTACAAGTCTCCCAGCTCAGGCTGACACTGCTACAAGTCTCCCAGCTCAGGCTGACACTGCTACAAGTCTCCCAGCTCAGACTGACACTGCTACAAGTCTCCCAGCTCAGTCTGGCACTGTTACAAGCCTCCCAGCTCAGGCTGACGCTGCTACAAGTCTCCCAGCTCAGGCTGACGCTGCTACATGTCTCCCAGCTCAGGCTGACGCTGCTACAAGTCTCTCAGCTCAGGCTGACGCTGCTACAAGTCTCCCAGCTCAGGCTGACGCTGCTACAAGTCTCCCAGCTCAGGCTGACGCTGCTACAAGTGTCTCAGCTCGGGCTGACGCTGCTACATGTCTCCCAGCTCAGGCTGACGCTGCTACAAGTCTCCCAGCTCAAGCTGACACTGCTACAAGTTTCCCAGCTCAGGCTTACACTGCTACAAGTCTCCCAGCTCAGGCTGACACTGGTACAAGTCTCCCAGCTCAGTTAGACACTGCTACAAGTCTCCCAGCTCCGGCTGACACTGCTACAAGTCTCCCAACTCAGTCTGGCACTGTTACATCTCCCAGCTCAGGCTGACACTGCTACAAGTCTCCCAGCTCAGTCTGGCACTGTTACAAGCCTCCCAGCTCCGGCTGACACTGCTACAAGTCTCCCAGCTCCGGCTGACACTGCTACAAGTCTCCCAGCTCAGGCTGACACTGCTACAAGTCTCCCAGCTCCGGCTGACGCATTTAGTTAGTTTAATATGTTTATTATGCACCCCATACCCATCCTGTGGATGGTAGTCAAAAGATTCAGCACCTTTTACGAGCACCATCCTGCGTGATGCAATGTGATAGTTGGAACAAAGCTAACTTTTGTTCCCACTGTGTAACCATTGCATAGAATAGTGTAGCAGCACACTGCTGACGTATCCACCGGTCTCTCCACAGGGTGACGACAGCTACGAGTTTGGGTACGACACACGGGGAGGCAGGACCGGTGCTAGGTTCTTCAGACACGAGGAGAAAGGAGGAGATGGACGTGTTCGTGGACAGTACGGCTTTGTTGACGCTAATGACGACCTGCACGTGGTCGTCTACGTCACCGACACGCTGGGTCACAGGTGAGAAAATAGTGACGACCCGTACCTGGTCACTGACACACTGGGTCACAGGGGAGTAGGTAGTGACGACCTACACATGGTCGTCTACCTCACCAGCATGCTGGGTCACAAGTGAAAAGATAGTGACGACCTGTACTTGGTCACTGACACATTAGGTCACTGGTGAGAAGGTAATGACGACCTGCACGTGGTCACTTTTATTTTCCTGACACACCAGGTCACAGGTAAGGTGGTAGCGAAGACTTACAAGTGATCATCTACGTCACTGACACACCAGGTCGCAGCTATGGTGATAGTGAAGACTTACACGTAGTCATCTACGTCACTGACACACCAAGTCACAGCTATGGTGGTAGTGAAGACCTACACGTGGTCATCTACGTCACTGACACACCAGGTCACACCTATGGTACACACCTCTCAGTATATACACAATGTGAAGTGTGTCAATGTTTAGCTCTGTGTAGAGCTTGATAATTGACTTGTTAAAGCTCTACACAGAGCGAAACGTTGCTTCAATAAAAGTCGGTATATATTTAAGTTAAAAGTACATACTTAAAGAAAAATTATATGGTTCTTAAATGCACACGTACATTATATATGGTTCTTAAAGGCACACATACATTATATGGTTCTTAAAGGCACACGTACATTATATGGTTCTTAAAGGCTCACATACATTATATGGTTCTTAAAGGCACACGTACATTATATGGTTCTTAAAGGCACACGTACATTATATGGTTCTTAAAGGCACACATACATTATATGGTTCTTAAAGGCACACATACATTATATGGTTCTTAAAGGCACACATACATTATATGGTTCTTAAAGGCGCACGTACATTATATGGTTCTTAAAGGCACACATACATTATATGGTTCTTAAAGGCACACATACATTATATGGTTCTTAAAGGCACACATACATTATATGGTTCTTAAAGGCACACATACATTATATGGTTCTTAAAGGCACACATACATTATATGGTTCTTAAAGGCACACATACATTATATGGTTCTTAAAGGCACACGTACATTATATGGTTCTTAAAGGCACACATACATTATATGGTTCTTAAAGGCACACATACATTTATGGTTCTTAAAGGCACACATACATTATATGGTTCTTAAAGGCACACATACATTATATGGTTCTTAAAGGCACACATACATTATATGGTTCTTAAAGGCACACATACATTATATGGTTCTTAAAGGCACACATACATTTATGGTTCTTAAAGGCACACATACATTATATGGTTCTTAAAGACACACATACATTATATGGTTCTTAAAGGCACACATACATTTATGGTTCTTAAAGGCACACGTACATTATATGGTTCTTAAAGGCACACATACGTTATATGGTTCTTAAAGGCACACTTACATTATATGGCTCTTAAAGGCACACATACATTTATGGTTCTTAAAGGCACACGTACATTATATGGTTCTTAAAGGCACACATACATTTATGGTTCTTAAAGGCACTCATACATTATATGGTTCTTAAAGGTACACATACATTAATGGTTCTTAAAGGCACACATACATTATATGGTTCTTAAAGGCACACGTACATTATATGGTTCTTAAAGGCACACATACATTATATGGTTCTTAAAGGCACTCATACATTATATGGTTCTTAAAGGTACACATACATTATATGGTTCTTAAAGGCACACATACATTATATGGTTCTTAAAGGCACACGTACATTATATGGTTCTTAAAGGCACACATACATTATATGGTTCTTAAAGGCACACATACATTATATGGTTCTTAAAGGCACACATACATTATATGGTTCTTAAAGGCACACATACATTATATGGTTCTTAAAGGCACACGTACATTATATGGTTCTTAAAGGCACACATACATTATATGGTTCTTAAAGGCACACATACATTTATGGTTCTTAAAGGCACTCACATATGGTTCTTAAAGGCACACATACATTATATGGTTCTTAAAGGCACACATACATTATATGGTTCTTAAAGGCACACATACATTATATGGTTCTTAAAGGCACACATACATTATATGGTTCTTAAAGGCACACATACATTATATGGTTCTTAAAGGCACACGTACATTATATGGTTCTTAAAGGCACACATACATTATATGGTTCTTAAAGGCACACATACATTTATGGTTCTTAAAGGCACACATACATTATATGGTTCTTAAAGGCACACATATATTATATGGTTCTTAAAGGCACACATACATTATATGGTTCTTAAAGGCACACATACATTATATGGTTCTTAAAGGCACACATACATTTATGGTTCTTAAAGGCACACATGCATTATATGGTTCTTAAAGGCACACATACATTATATGGTTCTTAAAGGCACACATACATTTATGGTTCTTAAAGACACACGTACATTATATGGTTCTTAAAGGCACACATACATTATATGGTTCTTAAAGGCACACATACATTATATGGCTCTTAAAGGCACACATACATTTATGGTTCTTAAAGGCACACGTACATTATATGGTTCTTAAAGGCACACATACATTTATGGTCCTTAAAGGCACTCATACATTATATGGTTCTTAAAGGTACACATACATTAATGGTTCTTAAAGGCACACATACATTATATGGTTCTTAAAGGCACACATACATTATATGGTTCTTAAAGGCACTCATACATTATATGGTTCTTAAAGGTACACATACATTATATGGTTCTTAAAGGCACACATACATTATATGGTTCTTAAAGGCACACGTACATTATATGGTTCTTAAAGGCACACATACATTATATGGTTCTTAAAGGCACACATACATTATATGGTTCTTAAAGGCACACATACCTTATATGGTTCTTAAAGGCACACATACATTATATGGTTCTTAAAGGCACACGTACATTATATGGTTCTTAAAGGCACACATACATTATATGGTTCTTAAAGGCACACATACATTTATGGTTCTTAAAGGCACTCACATATGGTTCTTAAAGGCACACATACATTATATGGTTCTTTAAGGCACACATACAATATATGGTTCTTAAAGGCACACATACATTATATGGTTCTTAAAGGCACTCACATATGGTTCTTAAAGGCACACATACATTATATGGTTCTTTAATGCACACATACAATATATGGTTCTTAAAGGCACACATACATTATATGGTTCTTAAAGGCACTCACATATGGCTCTTAAAGGCACACATACATTATATGGTTCTTAAAGGCACACATACAATATATGGTTCTTAAAGGCACACATACATTATATGGTTCTTAAAGGCACTCACATATGGTTCTTAAAGGCACACATACATTATATGGTTCTTTAAGGCACACATTCAATATATGGTTCTTAAAAGCACACATACATTATATGGTTCTTGAAGGTACAGAGTCATTCATTTGCACAGAACTAGTAAACACTTCAAATGATGTAGTTGAAGTCTTGGCGGTAAAGATAAAAAACCAAAACCTTGTCATTGTGGTAGTATACAAGTCTCCAGATGCAACTTACCAGCAATTCCAGGAGCAGCTGGAGAAAATTGACCACTGTCTGGAAAAACTCCCAATTCCTGCCCCAAACATCTTACTACTAGGAGATTTCAACCTGAGACACCTAAAATGGAGGAATATAGCAAACAATGTTTTAGCAGAGATCACCCCGGGAGGCAGCTCAGATGAAAATTCACACACACACGAACTATTAAATCTGTGCAACAAATTCACCTTAAACCAGCAAATAGTAGAGAATACAAGACTAGAAAATATGCTGGACCTCATCTTCACTAACAATGATGATCTGATACGTAATATAACTCAATCAAAGACAATTCACTCAGATCACAACATAACAGAGGTACATACATGTACGCACAGGGCTTCCGACCAGCAAAATGTGAGCAGTCATGAAGGTCTCTTCACGAAATTCAATTTCAATAACAAAAACATACAATGGGATCAAGTAAACCATGTCCTAAATGAAACAAGCTGGGAAGTATCCTAAACAACACGGATCCGAACATCTGCCTTGAAAAAATAAATTCTGTGGTTCTTGATATCAGCTCAAGACACATTCCATTAAGAAAAAGAAAGAGAAGATGTAAACTAAAAAGAGAGAGACGTTCCCTATACAGACGAAGGTGAAGAGTCACAGAACTGCTGAGTGGGGTCAATATATCTGAAATACGAAGGGAAGCACTAGTCATTGAAATTGCAAATATACAACATCCAGTATTGGGCACCTGCTTAGGCGGGATGGGACATACACAGATGATAGCCAAGAAATGAGTGAGATACTAAAGTCCCAATATGACTCAGTGTTCAGCGAGCCACTGCCCACTCTAAAGGTTGACAATCCAAATGAATTGTTTATGAACGAAACCCAAAATTTGGTCATCCCAAAACTCTTGGATATTATTATAACTCCACAAGATTTTGAAGAGGCAATTAATGACATGCCCATTCACTCTGCCCCAGGCCCAGACTCGTGGAATTCCGTTTTCATCAAGAACTGCCTTCAGCATTTTATGGAGAGGGAGCATGGACACTGGGGTCATCCCACACACACTACAAACAACAGACATAGCCGCACTCTGCAAGGGTGGCAGTAAAGCAATTGCAAAGAGCTACAGACCGATACCACTAACATCCCATATCATAAAAATCTTTGAGAGGGTTCTAAGAAGCAAGATAGCCAACCACCTAGATACCCATCAGTTACACAACCCAGGGCAACAAGGGTTTAGAGCAGATCGCTCCTGCCTGTCCCAACTACTGGACCAATATGACAAGGTCCTGGATGCCAGATGTAGTATACACAGACTTTGCAAAAGCTTTCGACAAGTATGACCATGGAGTAATAGCACACAAAATGCGGGATGAAGGAATAACGGGAAAAGTTGGTAGATGGATCTACAACTTCCTGACAAATAGAACACAAAGAGTAATAGTAAACAGAGCAAAGTCCCAGGCAGCCATGGTATAAAGCTCTGTTCCACAAGGCACAGTCTCGCTCCCATTCTATTCCTCATCCTCATTTCTGACATAGACAGAGATGTAAGCCATAGCTCCGTGTCTTCCTTTGAGGATGACACCCGGATCACCATGGCAGTGACCTCCATCGAAGACGCTCAAATCGAATGGGCCACTCAAAACAACATGAAGTTCAACGAGGAGAAATTTCAACTACTCAGATATAGAAAACTTGAAGAAAGTAAAAATGTGTCAGGGTATACCACAAATTCTAACCATACAATAGAGCGGAAAAGTAATGTGAAGGACCTGGGAGTGATAATGTCTGTGGATCTCGCCTTCAAAGACCACAAAACTAGGGACGCCAAACCCATGATGATTCTCTTCAAATCGCCTGTGCTCTCTAGGCTGGAATACTGCTGTACACTAATGGCCCCTTTCAAGGCTGGCGAAATTGCAGTTCTTGAGAGTGTACAAAGAACTTTCACGGCACACATAAGTGCGATAATGCACCTCAACTACTGGGAACAGTTGAAAGTCCTTGATCTGTATTCCCTCGAACGCAGTCGGGAGAGATACATGATAATATACACGTGGAAGGTCCTGGAGGGATTGGTACCAAACTTGCACACGAAAATCACTCCATATGAAACCAAAAGACTCGGCAGGAGATGCAACATTGCCCCGATGAAAAGCAGGGGTGCCACGAGTACACTGAGAGACAACACAGTAAGTGTCCGGGTCCCAAGACTGTTCAATTGCCTCCCAGCATACATAAGGGGGACTACCAATAGACCCCTGGCTGTCTTCAAGAAGGCACTGAACAGACACCTAAAGTCAGTAACTGACCAACCGGGCTGTGGTTCGTACGTCAGCTTGCGTGCGGCCAGCAGTAACAGCCTGGTTGATCAAACCCTGATCCACCATGAGGCCTGGTCTCAGACCGGGCCGCTGGGGCGTTGACCCCCGAAACCCTCTCCAGGTAAACTCCAGGTAAACACATACATTATATGGTTCTTAAAGGCACATATACATTATATGGTTCTTAAAGGCACTCATACATTATATGGTTCTTAAAGGCACTCATACATTATATGGTTCTTAAAGACACTCATACATTATATGGTTCTTAAAGGCACTCATACATTATATGGTTCTTAAAGGCACTCATACATTATATGGTTCTTAAAGGCACTCATACATTATATGGTTCTTAAAGGCACTCACACATTATATGGGTCTTAAAGGCACTCATACATTATATGGTTCTTAAAGGCACTCATACATTATATGGTTCTTAAAGGCACTCACACATTATATGGTTCTTAAAGGCACTCATACATTATATGGTTCTTAAAGGCACTCATACATTATATGGTTCTTAAAGGCACTCACACATTATATGGTTCTTAAAGGCACATATACATTATATGGTTCTTAAAGGCACTCATACATTATATGGTTCTTAAAGGCACTCACACATTATGTGGTTCTTAAAGGCACTCACACATTATATGGTTCTTAAAGGCACTCACACATTATATGGTTCTTAAAGGCACTCATACATTATATGGTTCTTAAAGGCACTCATACATTATATGGTTCTTAAAGGCACTCATACATTATATGGTTCTTAAAGGCACTCATACAGTATATGGTTCTTAAAGGCACTCACACATTATATGGTTCTTAAAGGCACATATACATTATATGGTTCTTAAAGGCACTCATACATTATATGGTTCTTAAAGGCACTCACACATTATATGGTTCTTAAAGGCACATATACATTATATGGTTCTTAAAGGCACTTATACATTATATGGTTCTTAAAGGCACTCACACATTATGTGGTTCTTAAAGGCACTCACACATTATATGGTTCTTAAAGGCACTCACACATTATATGGTTCTTAAAGGCACTCATACATTATATGGTTCTTAAAGGCACTCATACATTATATGGTTCTTAAAGGCACTCATACATTATATGGATCTTAAAGACACTCATACATTATATGGTTCTTAAAGGCACATATACATTATATGGTTCTTAAAGGCACTCATACAGTATATGGTTCTTAAAGGCACTCACACATTATATGGTTCTTAAAGGCACATATACATTATATGGTTCTTAAAGGCACTCATACATTATATGGTTCTTAAAGGCACTCACACATTATATGGTTCTTAAAGGCACATATACATTATATGGTTCTTAAAGGCACTCATACATTATATGGTTCTTAAAGGCACTCACACATTATGTGGTTCTTAAAGGCACTCACACATTATATGGTTCTTAAAGGCACTCACACATTATATGGTTCTTAAAGGCACTCATACATTATATGGTTCTTAAAGGCACTCATACATTATATGGTTCTTAAAGGCACTCATACATTATATGGTTCTTAAAGACACTCATACATTATATGGTTCTTAATGGCACATATACATTATATGGTTCTTAGAGGCACTCATGCATTATATGGTTCTTAAAGGCACTCACACATTATATGGTTCTTAAAGGCACTCATACATTATATGGTTCTTAAAGGCACTCATACATTATATGGTTCTTAAAGGCACTCACACATTATATGGTTCTTAAAGGCACTCATGCATTATATGTTACTTAAAGGCACTCACACATTATTAGGTTCTTAAAGGCACTCATACATTATATGGTTCTTAAAGGCACATATACATTATATGGTTCTTAAAGGCACATATACATTATATGGTTCTTAAAGGCACATATACATTATATGGTTCTTAAAGGCACATATACATTATATGGTTCTTAAAGGCACTCATACATTATATGGTTCTTAAAGGCACATATACATTATATGGTTCTTAAAGGCACATATACATTATATGGTTCTTTATGGCACATATACATATACATATTGGAGGTGGGATGTACAGTGTTTGCAGTCTTGAGGGAGAAGGGGGGTGAGGGGAGGTGGTGATGCCGCAGTTTGAAGGGTAATTTGAACTGTGATGTGTCACACTTCTGGCAAGACAGCAGTTGAATGAATGATAGTGAATGTGTTTTCTTTTTTTTTAGGGTCACCCAATAAATGCTGGGAGATGGCAATTGTGATTAAAAAAAGTGAATATCACCTTTTATCACAATTATTGTTTTCTTCTTCTTCTTCTTCTTCTTCTTCTTCTTCTTCTTCTTCTTCTTATTCTTATTCTTATTCTTATTATTATTATTATTATTATTATTATTATAGAAAGTGCTAAACCCTTAAAACTACAATTATAATTGTTTTAATAAGTAACTTTTTTTTTCTTTTTTCTCTGCACGACCCAGAATACGTACTGAGACCCACAAGATTGTTGGCTACGGACAGGAACTGTCCAGCATCCTGGAGAAGGGAGCATCCACTTCTGAAGTCAAAGATCAAATAAACTTAATCCTGAAGGCTCAGTCATCATCCAGCAGGTCACCAGACCAGAAGGCTCAGTCATCATCCAGCAGGTCACCAGACCAGAAGGCTCAGTCATCATCCAGCAGGTCACCAGACCAGAAGGCTCAGTCATCATCCAGCAGGTCACCAGACCAGAAGGCTCAGTCATCATCCAGCAGGTCACCAGAGGTGCGCACCTCACTACCCGCCTTAGGCACGCCCCTGCACACCTCAGGTTCAACACCGCGATCTCTCACCACCCAAAGTTTGAACCGTTTGACCCGCGGAACCCAAATACCAACAGGGCCGGAGCCTTACTTCGCTGACGATGACTCTGAGCCTCCAACCACCAGTCCGCTACCCCCAACAGTAAATCTTCGGCCTAACACCCTCCCACGGGGAGGCAGCAGCAGCAGCAGCAGCAGACTTCCCAATCCCAGAAGCATCACCTCAGCGGTGCGGTTCTCTAGCTCCACCTCCAGCGCCTTTCACGGCCCCTCGCCCGTCTTTCCTCTGAGGTTCGATGACGCAGACGGAAGCCTCGCTGACATGGTGGCTTCCCTGGCCAGGGGTAAACAGATCTTCGAAGCACCAGCTGCCATCGCTACCCACCCACCTGCCATACTGCCAGGTGCTTCCTTGTTTGTTTGTTTCGTCTCTGTTTTGTGCACTGAATGAGGAAAGAGATGAGTTTTGATGCCAACCATCATTCCCACTCATACTGCATTCAAACATTCCTGCTCATTATCCTCTACTAGCAACATTCCCACTCAGGATTCACCACGTGTGTGTGTGTGTGTGTGTGTGTGTACACACACACACACACACACACACACACACACACGCAGATGACGTGAAGTTGATGAGAAGAATTCACTCGATCGAAGACCAGGCAGAACTACAAAGGGATCTGGACAGGCTGCAGACCTGGTCCAGCAATTGGCTCCTGGAGTTCAATCCCACCAAGTGCAAAGTCATGAAGATTGGGGAAGGGCAAAGAAGGCCGCAGACGGAGTACAGTCTAGGGGGCCAGAGACTACAAACCTCACTCAAGGAAAAAGATCTTGGGGTGAGTATAACACCAGGCACATCTCCTGAAGCGCACATCAACCAAATAACTGCTGCAGCATATGGGCGCCTAGCAAACCTCAGAACAGCATTCCGACATCTTAATAAGGAATCATTCAGGACCCTGTACACCGTGTACGTTAGGCCCATTTTGGAGTATGCGGCACCAGTTTTGGAACCCACACCTAGCCAAGCACGTAAAGAAACTAGAGAAAGTGCAAAGGTTTGCAGCAAGACTAGTCCCAGAGCTAAGAGGTATGTCCTACGAGGAGAGGTTAAGGGAAATCAACCTGACGACACTGGAGGACAGGAGAGATAGGGGGGACATGATAACGACATACAAAATACTGAGAGGAATTGACAAGGTGACAAAGACAGGATGTTCCAGAGATTGGACACAGTAACAAGGGGACACAGTTGGAAGCTGAAGACACAGATGAATCACAGGGATGTTAGGAAGTATTTCTTCAGCCACAGAGTAGTCAGTAAGTGGAATAGTTTGGGAAGCGATGTAGTGGAGGCAGGATCCATACATAGCTTTAAGCAGAGGTATGATAAAGCTCACGGCTCAGGGAGAGTGACCTAGTAGCGATCAGTGAAGAGGCGGGGCCAGGAGCTCGGACTCGACCCCCGCAACCTCAAATAGGTGAGTACAACTAGGTGAGTACACACATACACGTCAAAAAATTAGAGAAAGTGCAAAGGGGAGCTAAAAGGCATGTCCTACGAGAAGAGGTTGAGGGAAATTGACTTTAAGACACTGGAGGACAGGAGGGACAGGGGAGGAGGACGTGATAACAACATATAAAATACTGACAGGAATCGACAAGGTCGACGGGGAAAGGATATTTCAGAGATGGGGCACAGCAACAAGGGGATACATTTGGAAGTTGAAGACACAGATGAGTCACAGGAATGTTAGGAAGTATTTCTTCAGTCAGGAAGTAGAACAGTCTGGAAAGAGAGGTAAATCCATACATAGCTTTAAGAAGAGGTATGATGAAGTTCACGGAGCAGTGAAGAAGTGACCTGATGTGAAGTTAATGAGCAGAATCAAATCGGTCAAGGATCAGGCAGGACTACAAAGAGACCTGGACAGGCTACAAGCCTGGTCCAGCAACTGGCTCCTTGAATTTAACCCTGCCAAATGCAAAGTCATGAAGATTGGGGAAGGGCAAAGAAGACCTCAGACACAGTATAGTCTAGGTGGCCAAAGACTGCAAACCCCACTCAAGGAAAAAGATCTGGGGGTGAGTATAACACCGAGAACATCTACTGAGGCGCACATCAATCAGATAACTGCTGAAGCGTACGGGCGTCTGGTAAACCTAAGGATAGGAATCGTTCAAGACTCTGTACACCATATACGTCAGGCCCATACTGGAGTATGCAGCACCAGTTTGGAAGTCACACCTGGTCAAGCACGTCAAGAAATTAGAGAAAGTGCAAAGGTTTGCAACAAGACTAGTCCCAGAGCTAAGGGGATTGTCCTACGAAGAAAGGTTAAGGGAAATCGGCCTGACGACACTGGAGGACAGGAGGGTCAGGGGAGACATGATGGAAACATAAACACATATGCAGTTTAATGTGATCCTTTATTGACAACGTTTCGCCCACACAGTGGGCTTTTTCAAGTCACAAACAGATCTACCTGGGGTGGAAGGTACGTGAGTATTTATAGTCAGGTTCAGAATGTTGAGGTCAGGTGGAGAATGCTGCATCTGATGATCTACCGAGTGGATTATAGAGTCTAAAATCTTGGGTAGCTTGGAAGGGGTATTGGATAAGTTGTGAGGAGACCTTCTGCAGTGTTCTATGTTCTTATGTGGGATAGCGATGAAGAAGTTTCTTGGCAAGTGGTTCAGCTATGTTATAGAAGCCATTGTTCTGGTTGAAATTGTTGGTTATAGAGATAAGCGATGATTCCAGGATTCTTCGGTACTGAGTGTTTTCTTCTGTGGCGATAAGTCTTGAGTTTCTGTAGTTAATTAAATGGTTGTGTGAATTGCGATGTTGTACACAGGCATTCCTTGTATCGTCAGTCCTGCTTGCGTATTGGTGTTCTGAAATACG